CACACACACACACACACACACACACACACACACACACACACACACACTCACCAGTAGTTCCCAATAAAGAAATCACATACTCTACATGTGTTTAAAAAAAAAAACTAAAGAAACATTTCCATATTAATTATGTTCTTTTCCCTATTTTTTCATTGTTTGTTCCCACTTCAGTGTCACATGACTCATTCTTATAACGCATATTCTTTTGTGTACTTGATGACTAGAACATCTAAGCCTGACACATAGTGAAGGGCTTAATAAATAAATGCTTGTTAACTGACTGACTGAACTCTCTGCTACTCTTTATTTTACCTAACTAAAATATTAATTAACTATAACGCTTGAGACTTTTTGTTATTCTCATTTATGTTTTGGTTACCTATAGGTATCGTCTATCACCTCTCTTTAAAACTGTCAGAATCTAATCTCCTGCCTTATCATACAGAGCAGAACGAACATGATTGAATCTTTTATGCACATATTGTAGTGGCACAGAGGTATCACTCTGTGAACATCGGTGCTCCTGATAGATGACTCTGCATATGGCATGTATAGTATTTTAGGTTGAATGCATGTGGACTCTAGGACATAATCCAACAGTTGTTTGATGTTTTTGTTGTTTAATGAATTCCCTAATGCCATATTGTTTCCTTGTGATTTATTTTTTAAAAGGAAAATATTGTTTAAAAGGAAGATGACAGTCCCATGACTTGAAAGTTTCATTTCTTTGGGTTTTTATTAAATTAATCTTACCATGCCTGATATAGCTCATAAATAAAATCAGCATTTTAACATCCATTTACCTCCAGTTTAACACACAAACCACTTCTTCTCTTGCCTGCACAAAGTACAGGACTTTATGGATATGCTTTATCACCTATATCATAAACTTCTTGGGAAAGCTCCTTAACTTCCATTTGATAGGCAGTCTATAAATGTTTGTCAAGTGATTTTTTAAAGTGTGGGATTCTTTTCTAAAGATTTTTTCTGCTTACCATCCCATTATCCTTTCTTTCTCTGAACGATATATCATGTTATAGGTATCTCATTAAAAAGTAGCATAATTTTAGAAGAGTTCTTATTATAATGGTGCGTAAAAGTGGGTAGGATAAATGGTTCAGGTGCCTCAACAAAAAATGTTTTTGGTTACATGTTAATCTGAGGTCATTCTGTTTATTCAAAGAAAATTTTGTCAAAGGTCACTTTGACATTGATAAAATCAACATTAAAATATATTCTATATATCAGGCATTTATTTATTAAATGTTGCCTGTCAATGAATGAACCAGTAGGGTTTTTTGGGGGGTAGAGAGGTTATTGTCATTTTGGGGGTTTTGTAGGGAAGCAGAGGGAAAAGAGAAATTGTTTTTCTTTCTCAGTCCTGTCCTAGAGGATGGTTCAAAAAAGTACGAGACATGTTCCTTGCATTCATGGAGCTTATGTATTATTTGGGAAGATGAAATTACACAAGAAACAACTTAAAAGAGTCATGAAAGGCAGTACATAATTAAGTACTAAGTGATACTTTGCAAAGTATAAGTACCATAGGAATTTAAAGAAGGAAGAGCTCTCTGACAGTTGAGAGAGTTGGAGAAAATATACAGAAGGACAGGAGGAACTGGATTAGTCTTTCAATAATGAATATATTAAGACAATAAAGACTAATGAAGAACAAATGAGTGGAATTTAAGCAATGACAACTACCTCCCATGCAACTTAATGTTATAGTACTAAACCTTACAGCTAAAAAAGTGTCCCCAATAATTATATAATAAAATAGTTTTATCCTGATATTCCACGTACAAAGAAAATACATGTTTTAGATGGCCAGTGCACTTTGTTCCATGCATGTCATATGAAAGGCATATATATTATGTTAAGAAAATCATATTATTTTACAAAACTATATGTTTTTCTTTGAAAAAATAGTTTTATACATCTTTGTGACTAAAGTACATTGTCATCTTATAGACACATTTTTGTAGGCCTATTCAATTTCAAGAGGATACTCATAGGTAGTAAGATTAATTACCAACATCACCAATTATTACATGCCCTGGAAAAAAATGACTTATACAGAATACTGTCATAACAACTTCATTTGAAAAGATGGATGAGAAAACAAATTATTTTTTAGAGATAATCTTCTAATTTCAAAGTCCACTGTGTAGTTAGCAGGTAGTACAGAGATCATTCAAAGAAAGCACCAAAAATAAAATGAGTCATTCTAAGTTCAGTTTTGTTCCATCTTAATCGAATTTGGATCTTGGTGTATGGTTCTTAACAATATCCTTTCAGATAATTCAGATTCAGTAAGTTAATCTAAGGTGTTTTTTTTTTCTCATTTCTATTTTGTGAATTAGAAAAAAAGGTGATTCAATAGTCAGCAAGAATATTTAAGACTATTAATTATTCTTTCCCATTTGATATAAAGAAAGCAAGAATAGATGGTATTGGGAGATCATGTGAAACAAGTAAATATTGATTTGCTCTTCTAAAATTTGGTATGTGGCAAAATCTTTCTCAAATGACCACTTTAGAAGCCATTAAAAAATTCTGTTAGAGGTGAGCTTAAAATGAAAGCCGAATCAAACTTCCATCAGAATTCTTATTAATTTAAGCATTTTTCAGCTATGCAGATGGAGATAATTTTTAGTGTAGTATTTACTCTATAATGTTTAGGTCACTTGATAATTACAGTCCTATTTGATGAAAACCCAAAACTCTCATGTATGCCATCTTTCTGAGGATTATACATAATTTTTTAAAATTTTATTCAGCTTATAAAATGTAAGGTCTAAGATATTTAGAGTAACTTAACAGTTGTACTTAATTATTTGTAGAATGTAAAGGCAAAACTTTGGTGCAAAATGAGTAGCTTTTAGTGAAGCAGGAAAGAAATACAGAACTGGATGGTCGTTTTTTTTTTTTAACTTCAAATTTTCTACTTCTTACTACAGAGTTATCCTTCACACTCCTCAGCAGACATCAATTCTAGTCTTCCTCCGATGTCCACTTTCCATCGTAGTGGTACAAACCATTACAGCGCCTCTTCCTGCACACCACCTGCTAATGGAACAGACAGTATAATGGGTGAGTCATAGAGAGGTCTCCATGTTAATGCATATGACCAAAAGAAAGGACTTTAGAAATGAAAGCTCATTTTTTCACTTATAGTAAGTTTGCTTGTACCCATCTAGTTTAGGCAATCTACAAGTTTCATTTTGAAGTCCTTCTTTAATAATACAGTAGCTAACATCAAAAATATTGGCTTATTCTAAATAAATATTCATAGAGATTAAAGATGCAATCCTAGAGATTTCTATTGGCATAGTTGTAACTGACCTTTCTATTTGTGTTTCCATTTCAACTTTTAACTTTTCACTTGCTTTTGGTATTAGCAAAGGAGATAGGGATAAAATAACCCTCTCACATAGAGCAAGAAGAGCTATCAACGGATTTTTGAAATGAAAAATAGGGAATAATAATATAGTAAAGCCAATTTATACCAAAATCACAGGTTGCTTTGGATCACTGATCATCATTTCTACTGAAATTCCATGACTTTGCTAAAAAAGAGATATATTGGAACAATATTCCATTATTGTTCATTTTCAGCCTGGAACTTCTAAACTTGAAAAATTAAGAACAAAGGTCATGGTAAATCCATGGTATAATTTTGCTAATTATCAGTGAAGTCTACAAAATTTAAAAGCAAGTAAAAAAAAAAGAAGTAGTTGTAGAGCAGAAAATGAAAGCATATTACACCATGCGTGTGGTTTGGCTGATGGAAAGCCCCATCACTAGAGTCATGAGTTTTAGATCCATTAGAGAATGCATGGTCATTCATTTACTTAGATGTGCTGGCTTAGGTTTCCTGTGTACTTTTGGTTTTAGTGTTTTTTTCTTTTTAATGAATAAAGTGTGGATGCTCAGAAGGGAAGAAGCAACCATAGTTAAGGGAGAAGTAGACCAAGGGAGGACTCATATATTCACAGTAAATGGGAAACTACTTTATTTCTAGTATGGGAAAAAGAGTGCATGGTTTGAGAATAGCTAGTAATGTAGGTGCCATAAGATAATAAATGCTGAATGAGCTGTAGTCAGCATAGCCATTAATCTCACAGGGGAAAAAATGATTATATTGTTGAATTAGTTGTGTGCTAGTAATTGTCTTGGAGGTGATGAGATAAGATCTTATTATCAGATGTGGTTACTATAGTCACAACGTAAATGCCAAAAGATGCCTTTGTTGTTTGTAGATACAAAGCCATTAGCTCAAGTGCAAAGGGCAAGAAGAGGAAGTCCTGAGTTAATGGGAGAGAGAGAATAAGAATTCTTTGACCACATAATAAAATACTGGTAGAATAGCAGCGATCACAAATAAGTTTGTATTTATGACAGACTACAGAATTCCTCATTTGTAAGTGAGTGATAAAAGTCTCATCATCCTTTAGTGAGGGAAGTTGCTGGAGTAATTCAACTTCACTATAAAAAGAGAAACCTTCTAGACATATCAACTAATTTGCTGGGGTTATCGGAACTTGCTGTACAGATGGGAACAGAATCCTAATGGTTGTATTTCTTAATAAAATATATCTTTGATCTGTTAAATATTTCTTAAGGAAATATTTCAAATATTCTTTTAAATTTTACTATTGCAAGTAGGAGACTTTGGTCCCTTTATATAATAATTCTCTCAGAATTTGATTTGATTTTCACAGAGTATGCTGGGCTTCAATGATGGCAGCAAGTTTTTATAACAAGATGAGAAGCCTTCTCTTCTGATGTTACTGATACTTTCCTAACAAACAGTATAGATTAATAAAATACATCTGCAGAGTTTCTAAAATATTTGGCATATATTCACTCATGCTTAAGTGCAGGAAATAAAGAAATATTACATTGCCTATATCTCAAAGAACAAACAGAGCTAATTAAATAATTGGTAAATAGGGAACACATAACGTGACATATGTTTTAGATTACACACATGATTCTGTATAAAATGACTGTAAGCAGTACTAATGCAGTAAGAATGGGGTTCAAGCATTAACACATGGGCATCATGTTTTTCATGTTTTCTTGGTGAAGATACAAGTCAGTATTTTCATGATGGAGATGCTTCCATTAGGTTACTTTTCCAATTTGAAAGAAGATCACACAACCATCTGTCACGTGTATTGAGAACCTTTTTCTTTTATGGTATTTATCTCATTGTTACTTGTGTACTTAATTACTGTCCCAGGAGTTACTTGATAGAACAAAACTTAAAATCATGGAATCATCGAATTACTAGAACTGCAAAAAATCATTGAAATAGTATATTCCAACCTGCTCATTTTACAGAAGAGGAAGCAAAATCCCAGGTTTATTCAGAATTGTAAGACTTAATAAATGTGACAAGAGACCTTCATTCTGAAACCTTAACAATTTAACCTCCTTGGGTTAATTACAAAAGGAAAAGTTAAATTGTTCTTCAATCCAGGTTTCAGAGATGGAGTAGAGTACCAAGGTTTTGGGTGAGTTGGGTTTTGCTTATTTATTGCTTTAGAAGGAAACTAAGTTTACTTTGTTTAATTCTTTTATTTCTAAATTCGTAACTAGACTTTTTAAAAAGAGGGTTACTCTTACTACATCAATGAATAACTGACTTTTATGATATAATCATCCATATGTCTTCAGTAGAAATTTATAATGAATTTTTTTTCATCTGGAGAAGTTAGAGGCATCCACCTTAATGAAGCATCAGTATAATAACTCGATTAAAATCACTTGCCAGCATCAAAATAATATTTATTTTTAAAAAAATAAACTTAAACTGGAATAAACTGGAGTAAAGTACCATGGATTGAAGAAATGTTAATTCCAGTTTTGAGTTAAAATTGAAGTAGAATAAGAAGAGAATCATGATTTGTATTCATCACTAAGTAACTTGCCTGTAGTAAAGGACCTCTCTTTACTTAGTTGGGCTTGTCCTAAAGTATCATGAACTCTTCTCTCATCAGGGTCTTACTTCAAGTCTCTCCAACATGGTAGAACAATTGTTTTCCACTAATCTAGCCTTTCAGTGACCCAAAGTGAATTCAGTACTATAGCCAAGCACCAGAGCAGATTTTTGTAACATAAGCTTACAGTAAATCTTAGGATTTAAAGGACTTAAAGGAAATCTTCTAACAGTTTGGAAGAATAACCTCTGCAATGTTTATGAGAGGACATGGATGGAAGTCAGTCAGAATGAGATGGCAAGGATGGGTTATGACCTGTGTCATTAGGGCGAAGGCTCATGTCAGTGAAATCATGGCATTACTGAAGATTTGCAGTGAATCAATCAATTCCCTATATATAGGGACTTTTTATATAACAGCTGTTGTCATGTCTTTGTCTAAGACCTACCAAGGCTGGGTTTAACCCAGAGCCAGCATATTGTTCTGGCAACACTAAAAGTGAACATTTATTGAAAAGAGAGGTAAGATCAGTTTTACAATTAGCAGACATTTGTTAAATTCCTACTATGTACAAAGTACGAAGTTCTAGGCATTGGAAATACAAATGTATGTTTGAATATTCCCCATACGATGAGGTGAAAGGAGTTGTGGGAAGTATATATCATATAAATAGGGTTAGGATTAGGAGACAGCTTAGGGTTCCCATGTACCTGCCTCTCCCACCATAAATGATTCCCTAATTCATTATACCTGAAGGGGGGGGGAACATGTGACCTAATCTCAGCAGAACGTTACCCAGGAGCATAAAAGTCCATCGCCCCCACCCCGACCCTCCAGTGTATCACTGAAAAAGACATTTTTCTCATCTAAGTGAGTCGATGGGCAGAAGCCTACTGTGATTTGGGATTTTCAGTTCTCTTGTCCCTAGAGAAAAAAATTGAGAACTGTGTATATAATGAATATGTTAACTATGATAACAAGTATTGTTTTATTAGGGCAAAGTTTCCTATGGATGATGTTGCCTATATTTAAAAAAGTCTCAACCAAAGCAGTGTTGAAAGAACAGACTACCAAGATAGATTTAATTCAGCATGTGATAAAGATTACTTTGGAATTTATCTATCTGATTCTTGAATTAACCTAGCTTGCTACTTTTGCTTCTAATGACATGTTTGTATAACATGATGCTTTTCAGTATGTGGCTTTCCTGGTAGAAACATTGTGTTCTTTTCCCCTTGAGGACTTGGTTTCTCAGTGATGTTATTATTAGAGTAGTCAAATAATATTCACTTGATTTTTTACAAGAGTCTTGAGCTTTTGAGTACATTTGGGTGATGAACAGCCACGTAGCATAAGAGAGGTATGAATTTTATCTAGTAGTATCAATGGATTTTAGTCAGGACCACCAACTAAGATTACACCAATTTGAACTTTTTTTTCTTTCTTTTTCTTTTCTTTTTCTTTGTTTTTTTTTTCATTTCTTGCTAATAATTAGGAAGTCTAGCTTCCTGCTAAACTCTCCCCCACCCCTAGACCTCCCCAACAAGTAAAGTTTTATAGTATGTATTTGTGTTCCAATTTAAGAACTGTGCAAAATACAATACTGCCTCAAAGAGAGATGTTGCCTACTTTTCATCATTAATTTCAGATCCAGAGTTCATGTTACACACCCAGCAGTTCAACAGCCAAAAGATGTTCAGCATTCTAGTCGGTTAATCTCCGATTTTAAAGAAACATTTTTTCTTTAGATACTTACCCCATGACCCAGACTTTCTTCAAGAGACTTTATGCCTTTGATATTATCTGCGTGGTGTTCCCATGTCAGGGTTATGGGTGTACGTTGTGGAGGTAGTTGGTGCTTCTGACATTTTCCAAATTCAGTGAGTCCCTAGGCAGAGTTCATCCTGACTTTTTGTTAGGGTGTGTATGAATGTAACTTTCATTTTTCCCAAAGCTGATATTAAGACAGAGAGAGGGTGGTCCAAATCAGATCTAAGCATCTTAAATTCTTCTTCATTTTGCTAAGCTTACAGCCAGCAGCAGCAGCAGCAGCACCTGTGTTCAAGTCCTCTGACTGACAATCATCTAACTGGCTGTGCTGAACCCTCCTACAAAATTATAGTTCCTCACAACCATTAAATATCCTCCATATTCATGCCAGAATTGTGTTTAGAAATGGGTCCTGTCCCTCTCCTCCCCTCTTCCCCCGACTTTGAGCAAGAAGAAATCATCCCAATTGTTGCCGACCAGCTAAGCAAACTCTAGCTTTGTTTTGTTTTGGGGCCTTTGCACATGTGACACCATGAGACACTGGAAAAAAACTGGTCCGGGAGAAGATGTGGGTGTTAATTTTGGCTCTAGTCATGTGACCTGAAGAATGTTCCCCTCACCTGTCTGGGATTCAGCTAAATGATACCTGAAATTCCTCCCCTCTCAAAAATCATGTCTAACTACAATGTAGGCAAGGATCAGATAGCTCAGTGAATACCTATAGAATCAAAGGCATGGAGAGACAAGTTTGAAGACTAAGACTTAAGGAAAGGTAGCCAAGAAATTAATGGGTACCATGCCCCATATCTGAAAAAGAAGAAATAATTCTGTTTGAAAACTAAATGAGCCTTGTTCCGGTTTTATTTATCCATTCTACTTTATCAAAGACTTAAAAAGTTGACTCATACTGGGGACATAAAATTTTCAGAGGGATGGATTTTGTTCCTTTTTTGAACTGCATATTCATTATTATGAGCATAATTCCATGTGTATATATGTACATGCAGATACATACATGTATTGTGTGCATGCATACATATATGTATGTATGTGCACACATACATTTCTGTACCTCAGTTATTCCTCATCTGTGAAATGAGGGGGCTGGTTAGATGACTTAAATTTCCTTTCAGTTCTACTATCTGTCTGTTTTAAACCTCTTACTTCCATCAATCTTATAAATATTACTAATAATTTATATGGTCTATTAAGGTTTACGAATTGCTGTCCTTACAAAAATGCTGGCAGGTTATAAAGAGTAAGGTTCGATTCTTCACATTTCATGGATAGGGGGAACTGTAGTTTAGAGAGGCTGAGCAATATATATATATATATATAACATCATACCCATAGAAAGGATCAGTCAAGATTTGAACCCAGGCCTTCTGACAATAATACCATTTCTTTTTCCCTTGCACCACTTATTTATTTCTTTTCTTGAGTACTACTTATGATAGTTTGAAGTGGTAGTATGTTTTATATTTTTTTTCAACCCACCTACCCATCTCAATGTCTTTATACATGAAATGAGAAAACTGTATTAAAATTGGTAAGAAGATTATATTCACATTGTTCCTTAATTAATAAAAATACTATCAGGTCAGAGTCTCATTTTTTAAATTAGTACTTTGCTGTTATTTGTAACTTAGAAAAAAAAAAAGCTGCCCCACCCAAAATAGTTTTTTGGACCCTTAGCTGTTTTTCAATTTTTATTCTTTATTTTGAAGTTATTTTGAAGAGACACTTTGGAGACTGTTTGACACTATGTCTACTGTCTTGTTTGGACTCTTCCTATATTGTAATAATGTGGAATTTTACAGTGTGATCTTACAGAGTAAATCTTAGAACTTCTCTTTCATGGTACCTAATTTTAAATTAAATAATGCAGTAGGAGAATGGCCAAAGAAATTGTGGTATATGAATATAAGGGCATATTGCTACCATAAGAAATAATGGCTATGAAAAATTCAGAAAAATATAAGAAGAGTTATATGAACTGATAAAGAGTGAAGTAAGCAGGACCAGGAAAACTAAATACAGTAAGTGCAATGTGAAGGAAAAGAAAAATTAAACAAAACTGAGCTCTCTATACATGGACCAAATTTGTCCCTAGACAAAAGTGAAGAAAATATATATCCCTCCTTTCATTGGAGCTATTTTCATTTTCTTTTTAAACCTTTTTTTTTTTACAGGGGATGACTCATTAGATAGGGGGCAAGAGTGGGATATATTCAGAAATGAATATGATATATTTTTAAAGTATCAGAAAAACAAAAATAATTTTAATATTAAAAATAATAAAATTTGTTTATAGGTAACCTAGTTTTGACCTATAAACTTATTTTTTAGTGTTTAGATGTGAAGAGATACCATCACATGCCGGTCACATCTGCAAATCTAAGAGAAAAATGCCCAAAAGTGGTGCTGTAGGAAAGCAGGCAAAAGGAAATATAATAATTTTATTTTAGAAACCTCATTTTTTTTCAGGTAGACAGGGGTTATTAACCTTTTTGTGTGTCATGGATTCCTCTAGCAGTCTAATGAAGCCTATGGAGCCCATCTTAAAATGTTTTTAATGTACAAATAAACACATAAAAGTAGAAAGAAAATCAGTTATTGAAATATAGTTATCAAAAGTATTTTTTAAAAAACAAGTTCACAGACTCCAAGTTAAGAATCCTGACTTTTAATAGTTAATGCTTAGGAATGAATATATATCCTTTTATTAAAAAAAAGGTTTTTTTTCAACAAGTGTTTTAACATTTTTGCTCAGTATATTTTCATTATCCCATTCTGTGATATCTGGCAATGAACTCTGAGAAGATTGTTGTAAGCAACTTTAGTTCTAAACAAGCACCAAGATAATGATGTTTTAAAACATACACATCCAACTGTAAAACGTGCATGATTCAAGGTTTGGGTTTTGTTTTGTTTCGGTCAAAACAAATGATTGATTCCAGTTTTTAGCTCTTCCACCTTTAGGTTTTGTCTGTCACCGTGCTTATTAGGCCCTGTATCTGAATGTGGGTGTTAAACTAACTCAATTAAATCTACAAAAAGTTTTATCAAAACATTTGGTATTCTCTTCACCTATATATAGTCATACTGATAAAAATGGAAAGAAAAAATAGTGTGACTAGGATAAGGCAATTATAATATCTTCACTTCACGGAATGGATTAGCACTGTAAGAAGCTAGGTTTCTATAGAATCATAGAATTTTTAGAGCTGGAAAGAATCCTAAATATCCTCTATTCCATTACCTTTATTTTACAAATGAAAAAAACTGAAGTATAACCTCTTGGTTTGAGGACATGGCTAGAAATGGAGCAAGCATACTTGGAAAGCCTATGTATTTTTTTAAGATTATATAAATATACAAAGTCTTGTTGAATTAAATCAATGGAATTTAAGTTGCCTTTTTTCTCTTCTACAAAACAGTGATGACATCTATTTCCTTAACCTCTCAAGAATATGTCTATATAGTATTTTGAGAAGTTAGCCCATAATAAATAGTATAATATGTACTATAAATATGGAAAAAAATAACTTGGAGGATCAATGTTTTGGGCAGTGTAGGGAACTTTTGTTGTAGAAATTCCATCCACTAATGCATTTTGCAACCCATCTGTGACTTAGTAGATAAGTACAAAGGAGTTACCTAAGGCATATAAGTGATTTTCCTGCAATTGTACAGCTAGTGAGTATTAGAGGTGGAATTTGAAGAGGTCTTCTCACTCCAAGAGCAGAACTAGCCAATATGACACACTGTCTCTTCTTCTTATATATCATGTTATACAATTGATGTATATTATAGTTACCTCAGAGATATTAACTATACCTCTTTTTTGAAAAATAGCTTAGTGCTAGAAGCTACTTGTGAGATGCTTCAGAGAACTACAGATAGGTTTCATTTGTATGTTGTTTACTTATAATTCATTATTTAACAGTAGATTAGTGTGTTTGGGATGATAAAGATAAGCCTTAAGAGTTGCTAGCATAATTTTATCCTCAGAATTTTGATTTGATTGATTCTGGTGACATAGCAATTTGTTTCTCTGTTAATAAATGATATATAAAGAAATATTTTTATACATTTCATTTTTCTACAGGTCATATCTATACAGATTCATTGTTTATTTAGTCCAGTGAGCTATGAGGGAGACATAGTGTTTGCTATGTGTCAAAAATTGGTGTCAAAAATAACCTAATTTCATATCGAATAGAGTAATGACTCTTTTGGAGACTCCAGAGACTTTAAATTGAAGTGTCTTCTTTCACTACAAATTTTTTATCTATATGGTTACTGCCACTCACCTATCACTGTTCTTAATCAAAGATAGGGCAAATATGCATTAGGACATTTAAAAGAACACACCAAGGTGTCAGGTGTATATTTGATCTGTAAAAAAAAAAAAAAAATTGTAACATGAATATTTTTGACATCTACCTTAGCAAACAAATTAATGCTAATTAAAGATTAATGTGATGTAATTAGCATTAAAATGCAATTAAATTATGAGTAAGTGGACTAGGAATAGAAAATTCTGAAATGTTGTACTGCCTGGTTTTCACAGTCAGCCTTTTGTTTTTGCAGCAAATAGAGGAAGTGGTGCAGCAGGCAGTTCACAGACCGGCGATGCTCTGGGGAAAGCACTTGCTTCGGTAAGAAAATATTTACTTTGGACTCCACATTTGCCGTTGTAAAAGGGTGAACTTTAATCAAAAGTGGACATTTGAAATTTCAGAAAATGAACAGCAAACAGGATAGGTTTGATCCTAGAGAGTATCAAACTTCGTTGTAAAATATAATGTTCATTGGTTAAAAAAGGGGTGGGGGTTCTTGGAAGTACATGAAAACTAAAGATTTTATTCCCATCTTTCTTCTTCTAATAGTTATACTAAATAGCAATAGGGTATGTGTGTACATATCCTGTTTATTTGACATTATCATTTCTTTCATGTCCAAAATTACTTAGTTTCGGAAGACATACCAGATTGGAAGTACTCTTCAGTGTCACAATATCATTCATTGATTGTACCCCAAGTTCTCAAAGACTTAGAAAGTGCAGTAATTGAAAAATATTACAGTTACAGAACTTAATTTATCAGTTTGATAATGGAAACAGCATCAGATTTAGAGATAGAAGATTGAAATGCATAACACTGGGCAAGTCATGTAGCTTCTGTGGGCCTGAGAATTCTCATCTATTAAATGAAGAGGGGAGGGGGGTTGGATAAGATTTATTTGGGCTGTTTTCATCATGGAAGTTCTGTGATTTTCTTAACTGGTAAAAGTGTACTGCTGGGTTTCCTTGCTCTACTACCAAGAGGCAAGGGTTGGTTGGACCTGGAAAAAAGGGCACATTTTATCTCTGTAAGAGGCACACATGATACTGTCTGTGTAGACCAAGCCTGTGTACTTATAGATATAAATTGGAGATGTTTTCCATTATGGCAACGACTTAGGAGCTCCAATTGGATATCTGCCATCACTAGAAGTATCAAATGAGTTCATTTTACTATGACATTCTTTCCAAAAATAGTGCTTTAAAAAAAAAAACTTAGTTCTTACAACTAGTTTCTATACAGACAAGCCATGACCACAAGGAAAAATACATGGATCACAGAATTATAAAACTGCAAGAGCTCCTGTATTTTTTATACAAGAAAACTCAGGTACAGAGAAGTTAAGTGATTTGTTCAAGGATGTGTAACCAGTTTGGGACAAGCTGCTAGAACCCAGCTTGACCGACTCTAAGCCCATGATTCTTTGTATAATGCCATGCATTCTCACCTTGTTCTACCTTATCATATTACACAGCTGTGAATGCATCTGGGTTAATCATGCTCACTGAACCCAACTGGGTCATACAGAATTCTAACCCTGTCATAGAGCATTGCTTTTAACTAATATGAATGGGCTTTTATTATGTTTTTGAAGGTGTTATTTTCCAAAGGTGCTATTTAGGAAGCCATATAAGCATTTCTGATCATGAAGACTCCAATAATCAAGCAATTTGTGGTATCAGTCCTTTTTGGAATTTGAGATGATCCCATTAGGGTAAATTGGCTATATAGCAGGGCTTCTTAACCAGGGTTTATTTTAGGGTTTGCTTTATAACTTGAGTTTTTGTATTGAATGATCTTTTTTTCTTTTACTGTTTTAAGATCTATTCTCCAGATCACACTAACAACAGCTTTTCATCAAATCCTTCAACTCCTGTTGGCTCTCCTCCTTCTCTCTCAGGTACTGTACTTGAAATTTGATTTCACAATATCAACAGAAATTAGTACATATCATTTCTTATAAAAATAACTCCCTTAAAGCTCTGTAAGGTTTGTAAAGTGACGTTCTCATGACATAGGCATAGATTTTTGTTTTTGGTTGGACCTGTGATTTTATTTGTAAGGGGAATTTCTAGTCAAGAACTTCCCATAACAGTGCAAATGAACTACCTCAGGCAGTGAGAAGTTAAGTAACTTCCCCAAGGGTACCCAGAGGTAGAATTTGAACTCACATCTTCATGCCTCAAGGCTGACTGTGCACACCTCTGGATACTGCCTCTCAAGAGAGACACAGTAGGCGGTAGTATTTCTCACAACTCTAGCACATTTAGAGAAGAATAACAGGACATGCTGTTTGGAAATGTTACTGTGTATTTTACCCCAGGTTATATGGATTAGGTATGGATAGAAAAAGCACTAGAACCAGGGGAGGGGATCCTGCAGCCTCGAGGCCACATGTGGCCCTCTAGGTCCTCAAGTGAGGCCTTTTGACTGAATCCAAACTTCTGTGTTCTGTGAAGTTTGTGTTCAAAGGGCCACATTTGAGGACCTAGAGGGCCACATGTGGCCTCGAGGCCACTGGTTCCCAACCCCTGAAAGACCCATGGAATATGAGGAAGACCTTTATATGTCTTAAGTTTTACCTCAGTCTGTGGATGACATGAAGCAAAAATGAATAAACATATCTCAGATGGCAAAGTTCAGTTAACATATTCATTTCAACAGAAGGGAAGTGTGCTCAAAAATTACGTTTTATAGGGATTTATAGAATTTTGTTGAGTTCTTTAGTGCCATAGGAATAATTTAAGAGAAAAACCTTTTTTGTATCAACAAATTGTGAGAAAAAATCTTGGTTAAAAAAAACCATTCTAATTGAATTTATAATGTAATTGATTTTCATGGTGTGGACATTTAGCTGGGACAAGAGTGAGATTAATCGATTATGAAAAATATCTATAAATTAGTTTAGTTTTGAGAGGTGCCTCTCAAAAGGCTTAGCACAGCACCTAATACAAGCATTTCCAATGGGCTCTTGGCAGTATTCAGTACCCATATTCTTTATGGTGTAGACAGGTGACTTCTAATTGATCAACTTTTGTTGACATCCATAACAATTTATTTTAATTAATACCTTATCAGACTGTGTTTTTAAAGTCTTCAGTGGGGTAGACGATCTAAATTCAGTCAGATATTTTCTCTTCAGCCGTCTGTTGCATCCCATAACATATATGTTGTCAGCTGTTTTTGATGTTAATTTGTGACAGGGACATTTTAAAACTACTAGGTTTCTTTGCAAGAGAGGAATCAAATTCTGGGACAGGAGTGGTAGTTTACCTAAGATTCCATAGTTTGCATCTACCCCTCCTTAGGCAGAGGAGAGACCCAAAGATGAGAGAAGTTTATGGACCCTGATATCCTGGTAGCAACAAAGAGGAATTGAAACTAATTATAGAGGGGGAGTGGCTATTGTCAGGTGATGAACTGAGCATTAATCACCTAGTGCTTATGTTAATACAATGGAGATGTTGAAGTATTATTTTACTGACTGTAACCCAGTCTTTTCTGCAAGCTGTGACCTGTACCTTAGGTAAGTGAAGAACCACTAATGTTAGTGTTATTTAGCAGGGAGGGAAGAATACAGGATAGCTTTAAAGTCAGTAGTTTAATAGATATGTAAAGTAGCCTACTCAATAGCATAATTTTGGGGCACAAAAGTACATACAGTGTTCAGTGGCACGTTGGTTTAGGAACATTGAGGCAGAAAAAAAATCTTTCATAGTCCTATTAGAAAGTTAGAGAAGATCACATGTTAAAAAAAAGTTAATTTTTATGATGACATGGATTTAGGGACAAATATTAATCCTTGTTTCCATGTCTTATCATTTGATCTTAAACCATGTGCAAGATCAATCTATATGCTCTTTCTAAAACAAAATTAATTGGAAGAGAATCACCTTTTCTTCACCTCAGACAATAGTAACATCACTTATTGCCCTGAACAAACTCTAGAGTTCTTTATTTCTTCAGATCTCTGCTGCCATATATATATATGGCATTGTTTCACTAAATTCTGATGTGGAAAATAAAACTTTGTAGTACTCCTTTGCTTTTAAAATTGTAACACCTTGGTTAGTGCTATTCTAAAGGTAATTCACAAATTTGGTAGGCTAGAAACATATACATATATTTAACAAGAGCTTTTCTTCATATTCAAATTTTGTGACTACAAAAGAAAATAATTTACTTCACAAATTACCCTTTTATCACAGTATATTGTATTACTGATTTTAATGTGGAAAGAATGGTTTTACTCTGCCATTGTTTGTAATTTTATAGTCATAAGAGGTTCTTATAGGTAATCATTGGTCACAAGTGACCAGTGATTGAGTGATTTATTAGCATGTATCAAATGCGTGCTTTACCACAGTAAGAATAGTGATCTGGTATGAGCTGGCTTTCCATAAACAGCCACTAAACCCTTCTTAGTATTTTTTTTTAACACACCACTTCTCCTTTTAAAAGTGATGTTTCCTCCTTCAGGAACTGCTCTCAAGTATAGTTTCAGAATCAACGAAATCATCTCTGTTAGGAGGTAATTTGAGGCCCAGTATCTATGTGTTTTACATAAAGATGCCTCCCCATCCCACCGCACACCCACCCTTGGTGTTTCAGAAGGTCTCTGTATGCCTCCTCTGTAGCCTAAATGGAGATTGGTATTTCCCTATCTATAAAACTACCTAAAATATTAGAAAAATATTTTAGTTTGTAAGGTTCTAATTGTGATTTCCATTTTAATATTAGCAGGCACAGCTGTTTGGTCTAGAAATGGAGGACAGGCATCATCATCTCCTAATTATGAAGGACCATTACATTCTTTGGTATGTCTGATACGTTAACATATTCTAACCTAGCAACTTTGGTGCCATGTTTCCCCTTTTATAGCTTTTTTTCTACCCTTCAGCCCTCCCCTCCCCCCCCATACACACTCTCAAGGTTCTTATTTTATTATAATTACTACAACTATTTACCACGTTGGCACAACTGAGCTGCTAACTCAGCCTGTGGGCCGGGAAAGTTAAAAAGTGATGGTGCTGTAACTGGACCTGTACATAGACCATTACAGGTGCTACTTTAGCACCACCAGACCTCCATATTCGGATCCCTGCTGCCAATTTTTCTGTCCAAATTAATTTTGACTGACAATAGCAACAAATGGGTATGTTGCCTCTAGTTGGACAAGTAGCATGGCTACTGCACTGTCACCACCAGCAGCAAATTGTGATATTGTATCCTACGTGAGGCTGGGTTGTTACAACTCTGGAAATGTATTCTTAATTTTCTTTCTAGAATAACTAGGTCATAAAAATTTTTCCCTAGATATCCATTCCCTTGTGTACTATCTGATTCTTGGCTGCTTACAGTTAATTCCGTAAGTTGAAGAGTAATACTGGTAATGAATAAAGTTCATTGCAATAAGGTTTGAATTTCTAGTGTAGAGAAGCTAAAATTTTCTAATGGTTTAATAAATAATATGTTCATATTATGATTCAATGTCTGTAACACTGAAGTTTATCCCAACTCATGGCGGATAATGCCAGTATCATATATCAAATAATAGTAGTCTATTATCTGTCTCAATCACTTTCTTCTCAGATTACAAGCATGTATAGAAGAAGGGCAGATACCTTCAGTCAAATTGAAATATGATTTTTTTTCTTCAAAGTCTTGGGATTAACACTGAGAAGAAGGTTCACACTGACTATCCATACATAGAAGCTTTATCTTGTCTGTGTTTTAGTACCTTTCTTCCTGTATTTGCATGTATTTATTAGGGACTCTCATTGCACTTAAAATGATCTTTTTAAAGAAAATTTAAAAGAAAAACCCAAAATGTAAAAGTAAAGTGTTTTGTTTGGTTTCTGTTTTTCTTCCTTTGACATGTCCCTTGCTACAATGTGTGGAGCAGTTGGTGATGGCGAATATGCTATGCACCTAAATGCAACATTGGTTATATTCTGTTCTTATATAGATAATAATATGAACTGACACTTTAGGATTTATCAAACATTTCCCTTTGAATAGCCCTGTGAGATAAGGTATGTGAATATTATCATCTGCATTTCACAGATGAGTCAACTGAAGCTCAGAGAAGTCAAATATCTTGTCCATCTTCACACAGCCATGAAGTGGAAGACCTGGCTTTTGAATCCAGACCCTTGAGTTGAATGCTGCTTCCATTATACCACATATGTGTCACCAGTTCAGTTATTTCAATTTTGTATGAAATATGTCTGAAAAATGAGCACAATGTTAAAATCTGAAAAAAGGGTTTTCAACTGGATAAGAAAACTTTTTGAAGATTTAAGTTTTAAGAAACGTTTTTGAAGACTTAACTAAATATTCTAGAACAGTCTATCAAGTTTGTAGTGCCTACCTACAGATTTGAAAGATTGCCCAACAGTGCTCGTCTCTATAAACCACCATCTTTCTTCTCTGGGTTTTTGTGACATGGCTCTCACTTGGTTCTCCTCCTACCCCTCTGACCATTGCTTCTCAGTCATCTTGGCTGGATCATCATCCATGCTACATTCCCTACCTGTGGCTGTGTCCAAAGTTTCTGTTCTTATACTTCTCCTCTTCTCCGTTTACATCCTTTCACTTGGTGACTTCATCAGCTTCCAGGGTTTAATTGTCAGCTCTAAGCAGATGATTCCCAGATCTCTCTCTTCAACCCTAGTCTCTCTCCTAAGCTCTAGCTCAATGTTCTGATAGGCATCTAAAAGTCCACATTTCTAAAAAAAGGAATTTATTGTCTCTTCCCCAAACCTCTCTGCCCCCTCATTTTCTATAGCTAACATTTAGCAGCTCGGTGGTGCACAGAGCACTAGACCTGGAGTCAGAAAGACCTGTGTTCAGATCTGGCCTCAGACTCTTATTAGCTGTGTGACCCTGGGCAAGTCATTTAACAATTGTTTGTCTCAGTTTCCTCACCCACTCCAGTATCTCTGCCAAGAAAGCCCCAAATGGGGTCAGGAATAGTGAGACATGACTAACTGACTGAACCACAGCAACAACAACAGCATGGATATGTGGATTGCTAGAAGGTTTGCCAGTGCTTTACATTATCATCTCATCTGGTAATTTCCCACTTTCTGTGGAGGGCTTCACCATCCTTTGGGTCATTCAGGTTACCAGCCTTAGTGTCTTCCTCTATTCCTCACCTTTCTCTACCCCATATATTGAATCAGTTGTTGAGTTTGGTCATTCTCCCTTCACATCTCTTCTTGCATCTGTCTACTTCTTTCCACCTGGCACAGCCATCACTCCAGTTCAAGTCCTCATCACCTGTCATGTGAATTCTTGCAGTAGCCTATAAAGGGATATCTTTGCCTCTAAGGTTCCCTCCTTTTCAATTAACCATCCACCAGTATAACTTAATGGTGTGTTTGGTGTGCCCCCAAACCATTTGAATTTCTCATTGTTTCTGGGAAAGCAAGCATCTTAAAGTGTTTCAGCACATACTAGGCACATCCTCAAGAGAATTTTCCCATACAGCTACGAAAGTGAGTTTCCTAAGGCAATAATATATGACCATGGGACTACCCTCCTCAGTAAACTCCAGTGGCTCCCTCTTACCTGTAGGATCAAATATAAACTACTCCATTTGGCATTCAAAGTTCTTTGAATCCTGGCCTCAGCCTACCTTGCCAGTCTTAAGTATTATTCCTACTCACATGATAATCAACATGGTGCAGTAGCAGTTAGAGAAATGGCCTTGCTTCTAGAAAGACCATTCTGTGTGACTCCAAGCAAGTCACTTTAGGAAATTCACATAAGCTATAAAAAGGATGCCACCCTGTGTTGTTGAGGGTGTTTTCTCAGCTGGGAGTTCCCTGTAACCATGAATCATGGCTACATTCTCTCTCCCCTTGACACACTCTAAAGTACATCCAAACTGATTTTCTTACAGTTCCTCACACATAACACCCAATTTCTTCTCTGTGTACTTTTGCAACAGCTGAATCCCAAGCCCAGAAGGTGTTCCCTTTTCACCTCTGCCTCTTAGAACTGCTGGTTTTCTTCAAAACTCAAGTGCTACCTTCTCCATGAAGCCTCTCTTGATTGCCCCAGCTGCTAATGCCTTCCCCCAGACACCCAAAAAATCATGTTGTATTCATTTTGTATATATCTTGTATATATTTCTACATGCACGTGTTTTCTCACCAATGGCATGTAAGCCCCTTGAGGATGGGAAATATTTCATTTTTTTCTTTATACCCCAGTACTTAGCATAATGATTGGCCCATAACAGGCTTTTGGACTGATACAAGGACTAGTTCATACATACCACAATTTATAACTGTCATTGTTCTTTTGTTGGGTAAATAATCATAGATCATTTCAAAAGTAGTCGTCAATCTTCCCAATCAGACTTCAGTAAAAATTCTCTGTGTAGTAGGCCATAGAGATCAGTTTTTTCCACGTGGTACAGGAAGAGTTAAAGTAGTCCCAATACATCCCTTTACCTGAAAAAATTATACTTTCCCAAACCTGCATGGAAATCTGTTTCTAGATTATATCTGCAATCACGATCATGGCACACAACCATGAGTTGAAGGCCTCTTACTCAGCAAATTTACATTTGTGGATCGCCTAAGCAGGGGCAACTTTTGTATTGTCTTTATCTTTTATTCTGTCCTACATTTCCAGCATTTTCTTGGGAGTAAAAATGTGCATATGCTAAGCAATTTTCTCTACGGAACTAAAATTTGGGGCCCTTAAAGAAACTAAATCTTCAAGACATTTGACATCGGAGTAAAGATGAAACTTAGGATAGTTGAAGAACAAAGTCAGACATAAGTAGACAGAACTCAGTAATAGATTGCCAAAATAAACTGGCTGACAGATTGAATCATTCATTCAACTCAGTATACACTTACTAATCACCTACTTCATAAGGACTGGATGTGATACAGTGTAAATGGACAGAGGGCACTACTCTTGCTTTTACGGATCATTTAATTTGGGTAGATAAGACCTATGCACAGACATGAAGCAGTGATCTTTTCTATCATAGATTTATTGGAGTGTATAAGTATTCTCTGCCAGAGTACTCCTAAAATTAAAATGCATGTTTTCATTTTACAAAGTAACTCTAAAGTCTCTTTAAAGATAATGCAGTGTGGCATAACATAAGTACAGTTTATGTCCCTGAAGAATTATTGAATCTATTTTTACTCATGAAAATGAAACTACAGTGTTGGTTGCATTTCTCATCAGTTTTCTAGAATGAAGGGTTTTTTATGTTAATTCTTATTCTAAAGAATACCGACTTTGATGGAGAAAGAATGTAGCAGGGTGCTATTTTTAGTTATAAACTCTCAGAGTCCTCCTTTCCCAACTTACGTTGGAACCTCCATCGGCAAAAATGTGACTTACAGGCTGAATTTCTGTTTCATCATTAATTGATCTTTCTATTCATTCACATAAACTTACAGCAAAGCCGAATTGAAGATCGCTTGGAAAGACTGGATGATGCCATTCATGTTCTCCGGAACCATGCGGTTGGGCCTTCAACAGCTATGTCTAGTGGTCATAGTGATATGCATGGATTAATAGGACCTTCTCATAATGGTGCCATGGGTGGTCTTGGATCAGGATATGGGACAGGTCTTCTTTCAGCCAACAGGCATTCACTCATGGTAAGTTTTGATATTTACCCATCATACAAACTTTAAAACTGTTTTATGGGATTAGGCATTTGGGTGGCATATACCCTTTTTTTTTTCTTTTTAATGTTTACTCTTATCACTTCAGCTTGAAGTCCTATCTAAGATGAGGCTCATTTGCTATAATTTCATATACAGTTGGTTTTTGTTTATTTTATTTTATTAGAAACTCGTTGAGTTTCTTCATAGAGGTAATTGTATGAATCTGTAGTTCCATCTCCAGTTGTATCTGAAGATTTCTCTATTGGTATGATATATTTGTTGGCTTTATGGATGAAATTTTTATTTTTCCCAACTAAAAGAATGTTCATCTTCAATTGATGGAGATGCAGTGAATTACAAAAATGCATTTAGTTTCTTTTTACAGTTGCTAACTATGCCTGAAAAAAGTTATGTGACTTTTATAATTGGTGAATTTGACTTAGCTAAGGAGAAAAAAATGAGAGGGGAAAAAGAATATACAAAATGAGTACAAATTTTTAAGTTATTCTTTTTTGATCTATTGCTTTTTCTTATGTTTCTTAATAAAAGTATTTCTGTCCTGAATGAAGTATTATCAAGAGTCACAACATGGTGGAAGTCATTTATAGGAAACAGAAGTGTGCTAATTTCTGAACAGTGACAACTGACTCAATTCACTTCAATTAAACTGTAAAAATATGCTATTGAGTATCAGAGCTAAATCTCTCTTTTTTTCCTTCCCCTGACATCTCCCCAATAAAATTATCTTGGAGTAATTGCTTGTTTGTCCATGGCAGTTGTTGAGAATTCACAAAAGGAAATTCTAGATTGTAATTTAGCTTGGCCTCAGGTAATGTGTTAAGTACTCTTGGGATGTAAGATTTTTTTGTTTGTACAAAGCTCCTTTTTCCCCTCCAATGTTTAAACAATACTGCTTTTAATGAAGAAATCTGGCTTTATTAAAAGCCAGATCTGTGACTTACAACCATTTCTGCATATCTACTCTCAATCAAGAGAAAAAGAATTTAATTTTTGTAGCTTTGTTTGCTTTGCATATGTTAAACTGATGCAACATGCACCCAGGGCATCACTTCAGAGACAGTTTGTTCCATAAATATGTAAAGTTTCTCCTTAAATACCAGATGTAGGTGAAGTTGATCTTTAAAATAATAAATCAAGTTGTGCTTGTTGGAAATATTTGATCTCTGGATTGCCTTCTCATTTGTGAGAGGTAAGAAGGAGGAATAACTAGAACACTTAGGGGTTCAGAAAGACAGAGGATGGGACAAAGGCATCATCAGCACCAAGAAGAGGAAGAAAATGTATCTAGCCATGTGCCTGTATTTTCCAGTATCATATTTTATTTAATTATGAAGCATGTCAGCAGAGGCAAGAGTGCTTATCATTTTGCTTTTGAAGACAAGTTCCTGTTCACTTCTCTGAAGACATTTATAATCCAATGAGAGGATAATTGCAAATCCAAGTAGATTGGGCAATGTCCCTCCAGAGATGCAGCCCAGTGACAGCAGTTTGCTCTTTAAAGCAGTTGTGTTTGGCAGTGTTTTTTTCCTTCCTGAAAACCAGTCGGCTAGTCCTCAGAAATAGTGTTAGTCATTATATGAATCTGTAACTTCTGTAAAAGCAACAGATTTGGTATTTTCCTTTGTAAAAACTGGTCTGAATTTTCAAGCAAAAACATAAGAACAAAGGAAATAGTTTTTGAATATAGTCAGTCTGAAGTTAGCCTTTGACCATTTCATACATTCCACACTGAAAAGGAAGTTAAAGAAAAAAAAATATTCCCCCAAAAAATTCAAGGAGGATACTGGTAATGTTTTCCACATTTGAATTTTAATACATGAAACAGGCTATAAAACTTTAGCCAGCTGCAGTAAATAAAGCAGCAGTGGGAGGTATGGACCGGAAACTTGTACAGAATGTGCTGGTGGGAGTCTCTTTCCCAACTGAACGAACACCTTCATTTTTTGGTTTCATAGTAGAAGAAGCAAGCCATAGTAACATGAGACCCATTCCTGGGATTGTGTTGTTTCCAGTAGATCTTCCTTATACTCTGTCCTCAACAATTTGTCTTATTCAAGAGTAGACAGCACCAAATCCTTTTGTCCTTCTTGCATGCTTTCTCTTCCCATGCAAAAAAGCAATGCAAAACAAAATAGCAAAATAACTTGGAATATGATACAAGCAATTCCTTCTACAGACTTTAAGCTATATTGGGGAGGACTAGATCTTTGATTCTGCCATAATGTTATCTCACTTAATTGTTAACATATTCTACTTAGCTTTTAATTCATGAATTGTTTTCCTTGGAACTCTGAAGTGGGCCTTCAGTGATTCAAGTTTTCAATAATGAAAGAGTTTCCCAGCAACACAGTTCACAACACTACTAGTTGCATCCTTGTAGGTTTTCTAGATGTATGCTTTAATCCTGTCATTGCCCCTGTTTAAAACCTTTTAGTAGCTCTCTTTAATCTAGAAGATAAAATTTATATTCTTATCTTCTATTGAAAAACCTCTACAACTTACCTTCCCCATGTTATCTTCCATTCTTCTGTACAGTCTTTCTCCCTAGCCAGACTTTCTGCTCACTGGTCCAGAATTATATGTGTGTATTCTTGTATCTCTACCATCTATCTATCTCTACCATCTATATATCTCTACCATCTATCTATCTATCTATCTATGCACACACATATATACACACATATGTGTGTATATGTGTGTATTCTTATATCTCTACCGTTGCTATCACTGTGCCCACTGCTTGCATCGTCCATCTCTTTCTTTTCTCTTCTATGACCCAACTCCTTTGTGGAGCTTCGCTAGCTAATCCAACCTCCAGCAATATCTCCCATCTTTGAGTTCCTGTTAACTAATGTAATCTGCATCATACAACTTAGCACTCAAAAGACATCTGTATATTTATACACACAAATGTGTGTCTCATTTTGAGAGGCTGCGTGACAATAGTAGAAAGAACACTAAAATTAGAACCCAGGAAACTCAGCTTTGAGTCTTACTTGGTATGTGACTAAACTTATTTCTCTGAACCCCAACTTCCTAATCTGTAAAATGAATATGCTAATATTTTCTCTAAATACCACGGAGAAGGAAAGCACTTTGTCAGAAAGATATTTTGTAAATTCTGAAGAGCTCCATTAATGGGAACTATTATTGTAATACCCTTTTGATTCATGTTCTATCTCTCCAACCTATGGCAAGCTCTTCTGCCTCAACTCCCACAACTTTTATCCTCAGAGACACAACAAATATATGTTTATTGAATCTTCCTTAATTTCAAGTTGTTTTGGTGATGCCATATGAAGGTCTCTGTAGTCCAACATGCTTACAGTAAAGGCTATCTTCCAGAATTTCAGGGGCAGCAGAGTAAAAAGAACACTGGATTTAAAATAAAATGCCCTGGGTTTGAGCTTTTGTGTTATGTAACTGACCATAGGAGAGTCCCTTCACTTTCCTGGGGTTCATTTTCCTCATCTACAAAGAAGTAAATAATAATGTCATACTGCCTATCTCACAGAGTTGTTGAGAAGATTGATTGAACTAATGTATTTAAAGTGCTCTGTAAAGCCCTAAATGAATACCGACTGTTATAATTGTTCAGTTCCCTTATTGGTGTGGTGGTCTACAATACTGCCTTAAAATAGGACCATAAAGGCATAGAGAAAATTCTCCTTATGCTGGGCCCATTATAGAGAAGACAGACATTGAGAATTCTATTTTGTTTTGTGTGGATTCTTTGATAGTCCTGAAACATTGTGGCTTCTTAAAGAAATGACTTTCCTTATGCTAGATAGAGTGCCCTAAACATTGGGGTTCTTTCAGTACAGAAAAGTTTAAATTATTTTTATTTTATGTAGCCATGTAGTACAGTTTTCTAGCAGTATAACCACAGACCTCTCTTAAATATAGTGGCTTTAGTAGATTGGTAAAAAATATTTCTTAGCTGACTTTGGAAAGAATACAGTTAGAAAGTTTTACCAAGTGGTAATCTGTCATCTTGCTATCTCAGTTTTCTCACAAGTGGTACTGTGACAAAATCATTAAGCTACTTGTTATTTTAAGGACTTAATACATTTATATAATACATAGCTATTTGCTAAATACAGTGCACTACAGTAAAACTTCTTTAATTCAGTATTGGTAGACCAGGCAAATAAAACTTTGAAATGCCAACTGAATTTACATATCTTCTTTAAACTATTAAAATACGGAACCTATACCCAGTAAGCATGCCTCGTCATACGAACTCTTGTGTGGTTGTGGTGGTTGTCCTTTACTCTCAAAGAGGACCAAAATGACATCACTGTGTTGGAGTCAAGTTACAGTGTGTCCCACTATGGCTTATCAGATAAATATGAGCTCGGAATGCTCTACCACAGGTTGGACACAGATAGTCCATGTGAACCGTTGGGGTGGATTCTCTAAATTTGCACATCTCGTGTTTCTCTTGAGCTACCTCAGTTCTGCTTTGCTCACATAGCATGGCACCTTCTCTGATGAGGGCATGCCATACTGGGTGGTCCTGTGCCAGTGTCTCCCATGTCACACAATCAATTCCAAAGTTCTTAAGAGAGATTTTGAGAGTGTCTTTGTATAGCTTCTTCTGACCAATATGTGAACGCTTGTCTTATGTGAGTTCTCCATAAAATGGTCTTTTTGGCAAGCGTATGTTTGGCATTCAAACAATGTGGCCAGCCCATCAGAGTTGCTCTCTCTGCAGTAGAGTTTGAATGCTTGGCATTTTAATTCAAGAAAGGTGCTCAGTGTCTGCCATCTTATCCTGCCAGGTGATCTTCAGAATCTTCCTAAGACAATTCAAATAGAAGCAATTCAGTTTCCTGACTTGGTGCTAGTATACTGTCCAGGTTTCACAGGCATGCAACAATGAGGTCAGCACAACAGCTCTGTAGACCTTCAGTTTGGTCATTTATATAATATATTTATATAATAATTTTAATTATTTGTCAATAGTA